TCTGAGGCTTGGCTCCAGCTCTGAGGCCTCAGCTGCTGAAAGTAGGTATCTGGTTTGTTTTGGTTCTATAATTGAAACTCTGTATCAACTCCAGCTCTGAGATCCCACCCAACTTTTTCTCATGAGCTCTTTCAACTCGCTGCAGCCCTATTCAGGAGACTACTACTCTATTCCCAGATTGGAAAGGCAGCAAAAATAGTCCTTGGGAATTATGTATTTGTCTGACATTAAATTTGTTTTTAAAATCCTTATCAAATAACGCCCTAAAAATGTTCACAGAAAGCTTTACTATATTTTCATAAAAAACGAAGTTCCTGTTCAGTGAGACAGAACAGGAAAGGCTTAGAAAAAAAATCAGTGTTAAAGAGGGTGGTATATTTTCACAGGAAAATGGATTATTAGGCCATATCAAATTCTACACTAAAGCATGTGATCATTTAAATCATACAGGTCATCAATGAACGGGCCAATGAAATAAAAAGATATGAAGAATGTAAAAGTGATGACAAGGGCATGACCCTCTCCAACAGAAAACGCAAGGCTTTTTTTGACCTACTTTTAAATGTGATGGATGATGAAGGGAACAAGCTAAGCCTTGAGGCTATTCAAGAAGAAGTGGACACTTTCATGTTTGAGGTATTTTGTCTTGTCATGTTAGTCTCAGTTATCATCATTAAATAAATTACAGTTCCTGTTATATGACAAGAAATGTTTGTTTTTAATCTTGGGAGTTGAGAATGCTAAGGATGAAGAAATAGTCAGCACTAATACTTAGACATGTTTAAGCATTTAATAGTAAAATTAAAAATAACATGAAATACAAGAATTATTTGTAGCCAACTTTTAAAGTATTTTGGGATCCTTGGTATAAGGGATGATCTGTTCTCAATTTATTTTTAATTTTTTTTCACCTTAATTCTTTTTTTTCCTTTTTTTTTATTATTATTAAGGTATTACAAATGTGTCCTCATCCCCCCCATTAACCCCCAACTATTTTTAATTTAAAAAATAATATACAAGAATTCTTTAAAAACATTTTTAGCATTTTTTAAAAGTCTGATCACATTTTGAAGTAGCTTGTTATAACTAATGAAGAGTCATTATATTGTAGTTAAAAATTACAAAGTTCAAGACCCTAATTAAATACCAGATCAACTTTTTTCTTCAGAAAAAGCTGTAGGCTTGTATGGTCTTTTTTCTTCCCAACATCAGGGAAGTTTTCTGTCATTATTTCTTCAAACAGGTTCTCTATTACTTGCTCAACTTCCTCTCCTTCTGGCACCCCTATTATGCAGGTATTGTTTCCTTTCATGTTTTCCCAAAGCTCCCTTATGCTCTCCTCCTCCTTTTTAAGTTTTCTTTCCAGTTGCTGCTATGTTTGTGTTTTTTTTCCTACCTTGTTTTCTAATTTGCTGATGTGGTGCTCGGCCTCTTCTAGTCTGCTATTGAAGCCTTCCTTTATGTTCTTTATCACAGCTAAGCCATTCCTCATTTCCTCTTGATTCCCTTTCATGTTGGTGACATTCTTATTCAGCTTCTTATAATTCTCATTCAGTTGTGTGTATTGGTGATTCAGATGTTTGAGCATCCTTATAACCATTACTCTGAATTCTTTCTCTGACAATTTACTTGCCTCCATCTCATTTAATTATTTTTGTGGTGATTTCTTTTTTTCTTTCCTTTGGGGATTGTTTTTATGTCTTCCCACTTTTTGCTGCTATGTTTTGTTTCTATGTCTTAGATCCAACTGCTTTGCTACCCAGGTTGTTTTGTGTGTGGTTGGTGATTTTTGGAACCCAGTGGTGCAGTCTCTCAGATCTCCTGGGCTTGGTGATCTAGTGGAGCCTCCTATTTGGGTTATTTGGGTTCTCTTGATGTAGTTGGGTCTTGAATGTTAGTTTATTTGTCATGGGTGTAGTCTCATCACAGATGGGCAATGTGACTCACCCCAGTTTTGTTGTGCAAGCTGTTGTAGATGTGATTGCGGTTTCGGTTCTTGTGGAAAGGGTTGTCTGAGGTCTCACTGTTATGTGCTCACTGTGAGTTCCCAGAGTGCATGGGCATTGGAGGAAGGGGTCTTGGGGCCTGAGGCTCAGGTATTGTGACTTGGCTGGTGTTGAGTGCCTCTTGCTGGGGTAGCATCTCTCTGTAACTCACTGTGAGGGTCCTAGAGTCTGGGACAGTGGGGGAGGCTGTCCCGTAGTCTGCAGTTGAGGCAGTGGGGCTCTGGCCAAAGTGATTTCCCTCTCTGAATCACAAGGGTGTTCTGGAGCCAGCAGCTGTGGTAATGGGAACCTGGAAGTCTTTGGCCAAAACAATGTGACCTGGTATGGCAAGGGGGCTCCTCAGTAACTCACCAAGGTGCACAGAGGTAGGCAGCCATGGATCCTTTCGAGGGAGCCATGTGACCTTGTTTGGAGAGGCACACACCCTATGGCAGTTCACAGAGGGGCCCAGTAGCCATATGGTGGACCTGTGTGCTCATGGGGCCTACACGTTGGAGCTGCACGATCGTGGTGTGCTGCTGACCCGGGGAGGGAGAAGTCCCAGTTTCTGCTTCAGGAGCTGTGCACCCTTGGTTGGATAGCAGCGCCCAGCAGTGGCTTACAGAGCAACCTAGGAGTTACCTGCTGGGGCAGTGGGCTCTGGGGTCCCGAGTCCTAGAACAGCACTATCGTAGGGATTGGATTGTGACAGCCAGGGTCATGCCTTATGGTGGCTCAGAGAGTTACCTGGGAGCCGCCTGCGGGACAGTGGACTCAGGGAGCCTGAGGTGTGAGGAAGTCAGCAATCGAGGAGGGCAAAGTCTGAGGTACTGCAACCAGGGTCTTTAGCCCTTGATTGGATAGGAGTGCACCCAGCAGCTGCTCACAGAGGCACCAGGAAGCTGTCGGCTGGGGTGGCGGACTCAGGGGACCTGTGTGCTGAAACCACATGACCACTGTGTCTGTGGGCAGTCAGCCAGGAATGGGGAAGTCTGAGTTTCTACTGCTGGGGCTGTGCATTCTTGTTTGGATACGGGCGTACCCAGCGGTGGCTCACAGGGGCACCAGAGAACCCTCTGCCAGGGCGGTGACTCAGCGTGCCCGTTCACTGGTTCAGCGTGACCGCAGTGTCCAGAAGTCAGCAGTCAGGGAGGGGGAAGTCCCACTTACTGCTGCAGGATCTGTGCACCCTTGGAGGTTGATGTCCTAGGGTCTGGAGGTCTGCGGTGAGGCAGTAGAACTTTGGCTGGTGTGGCTGCAGAGTTGCGAACAGTGTCCACGGCCAGTCTGGGTGGTGGTGCTGATGAGTTCCTAGAGGAGGCTTCTCTCCCCTTCAAGATGGCATGGGCTCCCTTCTTGAGCCCCACAGCCCAGGGAGTGGCCGCAGCGGTGATAGGGGTGGCCTGTCCAGGAGAGCCTGGTCTGCCAGCCTCTGATACTCCTGCTGGATTAACTGTCCCTCACTCATTCACACACACTGCACACATCCACACACTCCCCTGTCACTTCATCACTCAATCACACCGTCTCCGTCACCTCCATCTTACCAGCCATCATCTTCCCAGCTCCTTCTAGTAGAGCATTTAACCAGTTTGTGATTCTGAAGAGATTTCTTGTCTTCACATTTAAAAAAAAGGATACATTTTAAAAATATATAATTTTATTGATTATATAAAGCTGTCGGGCACTGGGAAAGCATCATTTGGGGCTCAGTTTGTCATCTCTAAAATGTGAATAGCAGTATCAAGTATCCCATGGAGATTTTTTAAAAATATGTATTTTTATTGATTTCAGAGAAATATATTTTCATTGAAGAGAGAGGGAGAGACAGAAACATCAATGATGAGAGAGAATCATTGATTGGCAGCCTCCTGCATGCCCCATACTAGGGATTGAGCCCACAACCCCAGCATGTGTCATGACCAGAAATCAAACCATGACCTCCTGGTTCATAGGCTGATGCTCAAGCACTGAGCCACGCTGGCCAGGCTCCCATGGATTTTTTGTGAAGAATAATTGAGTTCGTTTCTGCAAAATGTTTGGTATTTTGCCTCAAACTCAGAAAGGCTTAAATGGGGTATTTATCAACTTCTTGAGGTGGAGACTGTTGCTCAGAATCACCCATGTGCTGCCTGGTGTCCAGGTAAAGTCGACCGTACAAATGGGAGAAAGTGGACAAGTGCAGATCTGGTTACTTGGCTCAGGAAAGTCACACTTTTATTTTCCTCAAAAACAGTCCAGCACACTGAGTGCCCTCAGAATGCCTCCTGTTAGCCCAGCCCAGCCACTCT